CACCGTTGTTGGCTAGACCGTGATCATTACTTGCTTCATCAGGCTACACTCTCTTGGTTTTGAGGAGGGCAGGGTAGGGGGTCGTCCGGCAACGCGAGCAACTCCATACACGCCTGTTTTGGGCTTGCCATGACGATCGTCATGACAAGGAGAACAGGGTGACATTGCTGGTGGTGGTTGGGCCCTAGCGGTGGCAGCTTCGGCCAATCTTTTAATTTTTTGGCCCATGTACAGCTTATTCCAAAGGATATCTCACAAATATGGGATTGGCGCTTTCCTCGTCAGATATCAACTAGAAAGGTCTTGATCGTAGGAACAACCTCGTTTGTGGCTCCCCTTCTTCCTGCCGTCAATAGTCTCGAACGTGGGAGAACGTCACGTATACGGGTGAGAGGTCTAAAAACAACGAATTCAAGGAAACTTTGGGTTAGGTCCCATTGACAAAGTACCTGAAAACCGATACAAAAGTGCTGTGAAACGGTCGGTTCCTTGACGAACCGTCGCGGCGTTGACAATAAAAGAGTATTTCAAGGTGGATTCGTTTGTGCGAAAAACGGGTGGAGTTGGTTTAGTCGGTTGTTGAGCTGAAGACCTATGAGTCTCGACATTTGCTGAGCCAATGAAAAATATCCTCTCCAAGTTACTTTTTGTACCCTCTGTCAAACAGCCGCTTGCAAGCGGCATTGAGTCACGATGTTTCTATGCTGGACCTCAGGCATAGCACACGGATACGATAATCTCTGGCGCAACCCTACGTCTGTGGTTTGAATTGTTCCGTCTTTTTCGCGACGTGCCTGGGGGCCTAGTGGTACGTCTGGGACTGTGCTAGAGTTGAGCGTCTTTTCGCAGAGAGCACCACGCTTGGGCGTTCATCTTGACCCGGCCTGTGAGTGTGTCGTTATTGTCCTTGATTCTCGTCCCGTGGGTACCACTGGTGGGCACCTCTCGTTGCTGTAGATAGTATCGCCCTCGTAACGGCGTTTACTACTCGGCACTGCAACATCGTTTGGCAGAGAGCCAAGGAGGAAGAATACGACCTCTCCAACCCCTCTGTGGTCAGCTTCCTGGTAAAGATGCAAGAGATGCACCGTAGGAAGCTGACAACCCAACAAGGCCCAGACGATGCCGACGACCAGGTTTGTTCTAGCGGTCTTCCGGATGAGTTCTAGACGAAGTTCCACCCGCGTGACGCTGCTGACACTGAACGGCAACGTTTACTAGAGAAGAGGCAGTGGCACTAGTTTGGGAGGCCCGGACCGTCTAGAACGGCGAACTGGCTTCGTAGGGCAGGTTCTTGCTCAACCCTGGTCGACCGTATTTCAGCGGAGATCAATTTGATTTAGCTAAGGAATACCCCCATTTTCCGATGTCCGAGTGCGAGGACCCAGGAATATGTTGCCTTTGAAGAATGATACATAGATTCCTCACGCACACGGTTCCAGTGCCTTCACTACAGTTTGGGGTTGAGAATTTACCTATGGTGCCTCCGCAAGCGTCGGATCTTGGGGCGTGTCTGTTCTTTATTCATGAAGCATGACGCAGTTCGGTAGGCGCGAATTCGTTGGGTTCCGGCGGTATAAACGGTAGTCCATTGCCACTATGCAAGGTGGCCCAAATGTAGTATCTCAGCACACCGGTCGTGGATGCTTCCCGTACAGGAGAATTGGAGCTCAGATGTCTGGGAAGGCGCCATCCTCTGTATGTCCCGGTGAGTGAGCGGGCGACATCGGCACGTTGGTAGACCTACGTCGACACGCATCGCCATACATAGCTGAACTAATGGTTCTTTACTTGTCCGTGAGCTCAAAAATGGTGGTCATACATTGTAGATATGAATACATATCCAGTGCTGACAATGGTTCTGGGTGTGCTGCTGATTGGTCAGTCAATGTGCTGGGCTTTGCGTTGAACGCCATGCTCAAGACCCTCTCCGAGGCGTCCACTGCGAATACCATCAACCTTTGGAAACGTGAAGCGGTATGCCCGGTGCACCCTACCAAAGAGAAGCAACCGAAGGTGCCTTTTTTCAGGTCCAAGACCTGCGGAGAACTTTATGGGATATTGGGCAGGGCAGGATCAGGGAGCCCACAATTGAATGATTTTGTATGCCGTCGAATGAAGCGCGCGCAAGGTCGACGTGTTTTTTCGGCGGATCCCCTCACAAGTCGTTGCTGCCTGCCTGCATACGCTTCGGCCCAATGTATCTTCTCCGGAATCTCATTTTCGGTGGACGGTTTGCTACCGCGCAGAGCGGAAGTGACGTCCTTCTTGACGGACGAGCTGGGCGTTGACCCGAAGCCTGCTGACACACCTCTGGAGACACTGAGGCTCCTGGCCGCCAGCCGGGTGAGCTCGAAATTTCAGTGGAGTGCGGGACCGATATCGCTGTCGACGACGAATGACTGTGCCGTGCGGTTCAATTGAAATCGCTTTTCCAGACGGGCGTCGAACGAAACCTTAACCCTAACCCAAATCACACCAGTAAGGTCGCTGTGTGGACTGATGCTCGATTGAACGCGCCTGTAGCCGAAGCTCTCGGCCTGATATTTAAGGGTTTGCTCGACAGACCGAGTAAGAATTTTCCTCGCCGGGGGCTAGAAACCTAGGATTTCATCGCGTGTGACCTCGCTCACACGGTTTCGATACCTGCGGACTTAACCTAGGATTCCATCGCGTGTGACCTCGCTCACACGGTTTCGATACCTGCGGATTTCAGGTGGTGGGTCGGCCTTCTCTAGGCGAGGGGAATCCCTCGCTCGGCAGGCAGAAACCGGCGGCGAATGAGAAAGTATCTAAACGAACGGTATGACCGCGGCAGAGAGAGAAGACAGAGGCGTACTCGGTAGTTGGGTACTCGCCTGAGGAGCGTTACCGTGAATGGCACAAGCCACAATTATGCATGGTTGGGACTGACGAACTTGGAGCTGTTCCAACAAGCGGACACTACAATTATTAGCGACATGCATGCTTCCACCCATTTTTAAGGGATAATTCTATTTACGTCACCGGTGGCGTTATTTCTTATATGCGTCACCGCCCGTATCTCAGCCCACAGAGCTTCAATTGGCACAAAATGAATTGCGTTGTGTAGCTANCCTCCGCAATCACTTATCGGATTTGACCGTCGAAAGGCTTGTATGATTGGTGTGGGTCATNCCATACAAGCCTTTCGACGGTCAAATCCGATAAGTGGTTGCGGAGGTTTGCTCAAAAGGGGGCTCAGCGGTATGATATACTGTATCTGCCATAAATAAAACGACCGTGCCTCCTCGCAGAGAGTTCTCATCGACACCAACTACTAAGTATGTAACTCGCGTTGTGTTTCCACGATTCACAGCCATCACTTAAGCTATTGGTGTCGATCGGAGCTCTCTGCGCGAAGTTACAGTCGGATTTTTTTGTGGTAGATGCAGTATCATACTGCTGAGCCCCCTTTTGAGCAAACCTCCGCAATCACTTATCGGATTTGACCGTCGAAAGGCTTGTATGATTGGTGTGGGTCATAGCTACACAACGCAATTTTATTTTGTGCCAATTGACGCTCTGTGGGCTGAGATACGGGCGGTGACGTATGTAAGAAATAACGCCACAGGTGACGTAAATAGAATCCTTCATTATTAAGCAGTCAATTCCTTCAGCAGCTCGTCATCCACGAAACGATTGCTCTCGCGAATCTAGCACGTGCCTTCGTCTCCACCTCTGTCGCTTGATATCCAACTGATGTGTCTCAGCTCTTCGGCGAATTGCCTATATTTCCATAATAATCTGTGTGCCTGCCGTTGGCCTCGCTTACTTGCCACAGTTTTGCGGCGAAACTCGTGCGAGGGGAGGAAACAAGTGTTCGTTCCCGTAAATGACCGCGCTACCCCGCCCCACGATGTTGGTGTCCCTCCACGTTAATGGTTTGCGCGCAAATTCAGAGGGCTGACTGGAGAATCTCGGCGACCGTCACGCTTTTGCTCTTCTTTTTCAAGGCATACCAGATGGGTGAGGCAGCGGGCCACAGAGAGGAGGGGGCGAGATTTGGAGAAAGCGGAGAGAGGGAGAGAGATTGGGGGGGGAGAGAGAGAGAGACATGGATTCTAACAAGTAGTCTAGTCTAGACTACATTCAGATCGAAGGAAGCCACAAAATAATACATTGGAAACGAGGCAGAATGTAGACAAGGCGCAAACGTTTGCTTGGAAGGGTTGTGGAATAATGCCATCGGCTGGTGGCCGGATCATCGCAGATGATGGCGAACATGTGTAGTCTACCACCTCGGTTGTTGACACACAAGTTACCTTCTGGATTGGCGGCATAGCGGGTTTGTAACGAGTCGATAGCACGTATCGGTGGAGGTCTGCTGCGTGGAATCAGCAAGTATCAGATAGCCCCTGGTCATGGCACTGCTTATGGTGCGAGAAAGGGAATTAATGCTCCTGAGAGGTATTGTAGCCCTCTCATGCAGCGATGTACACACACGGACCCCGCTTAGTGCAATAGAACGACTGTACCGAGTGCGATGAATAGTTAAGATACTCGTACCCGCTGCAGTGGCAGGTGTAGTGTCGGAGCAAAGGCCTCCTTATGAATGTCATGGTCTTACTCTTTTAGGGTATGCTCAGGATAGTAGCTTGGTTGTGAGCAGAAGAGGGCGAGTCCAGACAGCTCTTGCAGAGGCTCCGCCGAATGCAGCCAACTACCTCTGTGGGTGTGTACTTGCGGAACAATGAATAACCCGAACCGTAACATGTGGTCTACACGGCAACACCATGACCTCCGTCCCTTGCCCGACACCAAACGTTGATTTCTATCGTATATCGAACACCGATTCTCGCATTGGCTCCGTACAGGTCTTTTCAGGTGGCTCATGACCGGATACGGTGGTGGCGTAGCGACACCAGGAACGTGAGTCTTCGCCTCCGGCAGCGAGCAGCAGGGACCTCTTCGGGGAAGGGGCAGGCGGGGTAGGAAGGACGGCTGGAGGAGACATGAGAAGCGGACCGCTGCCGTCCCTTCTTGATGGGGAAGGGGCCGAGGTAGGGAACGCGGCCGTTGCTGTCACTGCCGAGGACATTGGCGACAGCCTCGCCGCCAAGACCCTTGCATCGGCCACCAGGACGAGTTCTTGGAGTTCAACAGAAGGCCACTACAGCGGTGGGTGCGACGTCACCGGTGGCACATGCAGAGCAGAATGAGAGGGGGCTCGCAGGACACGGTGCTGAAGCAGAGATGACGGAACTCTGGCTTCGGTTGATCGATTACAAAAGACGAGAAACACAACGGTGACACCTTTGATGATCCAACAGACCATCGCTGGATAGCAAGGCCTGCAGATGACGCAAGAAATGATGCAGATGGTCAAGGGACGATCGGTTCGGCAAAGCCACGCGTCAGTGGTTGATGAAGGTGGACGTATGCCTTGTTGGAGAGGGTTCACACCTTTAGAAAAGATGCACAAGTCGTCAAGTGCTGCGTCGGAAGAGTATCATGCGCTCTGGACCCATCTTGGTCCATTCTTCACGCAGAATCGGCAAGCATGTAAGTGAGCTGGCGCCGACAGGAAACAATGGCACAAGTTTACAAGAAGTAAACGTCAGGTGGTGGAATGCCATGCGGGAGGGATCTCCATGCAAAACGCGTTGGCAAAGGTGCATGTACGAAAGGTTGAGAACGATGGGAAACAGTGCTTCACACTCTGACATGACAGCAGGACACCAGGACTATCCATGTTCATGGAAAGGGGAGGGATGTCTTCGGTGGCGACCGCGTTACATCGAATTGCTTCCAGCTTACGTTGGCATACGGTTACACGAGGTCAAAAGGTGGTTGGAACAACCCCCCGAAAAAGCCTTCCAGATACATTTCATGGACATAAACACAACTGAGAAGCACTATACATCACGTCAAACTTAAGCTTGTTGCTATCGGGTAGGCACGAAAGCGCTATTCGCTCACGACTCTCGCACGGGTAACGCACCGCAAGCATCCCAGGAGAGGTGTGAGTCATTTTACTCCCCCGATCGAAAGAAAAACCGCCCACAAACCGCACAAGCTCACTGCATTAGTAGGACACACCTCAACACTCGACGGCCCGTACCACCCGTGCCCCCTACCATCCCACGTCAACAAGGCCTTACGCATGACCGGTGAAACGACCTGAGGCCAAGTGTAATGGCCCTTTCGGAGAGGCTGAATTGAAGACGTCAGTCGCCATAGCGCAGCAGGACACTGGAGGGTATCCTTTCCTCCCCCAGAACGCTGTCGCTCGTCAACCACCCCTCTTATAATCGCCACAGAAGAACACTACTGTCGTTTGTTAACCACACGCTACGAATCGAGTCACAACTCGGTCGATCCAGCGGCCGCGGCGGGGGGTGTGGCGTTTTCTCGGATGAAGGCCACCATGGCCTCCTTGTCCCTCGGGCCGTCGTACGGGATGGGGTTGGCCTTGTCTCCAGCCTGAGAGGAGGAGACAGAAGGGAGCATGGAGGGAAGGGAAGGCGCAAATTGACGGATGCGTCATGGACAGGACCTATCAGCGTGGTAAAATGACCGAAAATGGTTGCTTTATTCTTTCAACGAACACACGACGATTTCACCTCTCCCACAGATGAGAGTTCGGGATAGAATAGCAATGCAATTCATCGTAGCGTTATGTGACTTTGTTTCCTTCGATTCCTCGAGCAGCACATGTTCTCCCGTCCCAATCTCTATTCTCGTGCGCTATTGGTAGTTTCCACCGTTCGGTGTGTGTTCGACGTGTCAGCCGGGGTCACGAAACGGCTTGCGCGATTAACTTAACAGCGTTTTTTAACACCAAGACTACATGACAACGTGTTTACTACGTGTCTACGGATAGGTTTCACTAGCATACTGGTCAGGGCAGCAACCAAGACCGCAAAAACCTCCCTGACGACGGCTCAGTAAGAGCATCAAGGCCGCACGTGCACACGAGCACAACCGGCTGGCATCATGCAACCTCACTCCATACCCGAATGTCGCCTCCCCCCCCTACGTTGCCGATTGGTAGAGTACGATCAGGTGAAAGGGTTCATCCGCATGCATGAAAAATGGCTGCTTCGCATTCGTGATTGTTTGCATGACCCAGATGATATTCACCATGGGTGTGGACGGGCTTGACTTCAGACTCGACCCCCTAAACTACGACCTCAAACCGTGATAAAGAAGAAACAGCGGTGTGTTCCACCTACCTTCAAGAACAACAGGGTCGGGAAAGACTGGACCTCGAACTCCGCGGGGGGTGTGTGAGCGTCGGCGTCCATCTTGGCCACCACTACCGACGGCATGTCTGACACCTGACACAAGCCGTCGACGGGGGAAGGATCGATCGCAAACAACACCGTCAGTGCATAATCCAGCAGGGGATTGGGGGGGGGGAGATTGTCGTGTCATCAGGACCAGTGCAAAACTTGCAGATTTACGCCAGATACCTCTGGCGCGATCCCAACAATGAGTCGGTTTCAATGGACCCGGCGCAGCTTCATACCAGCAAGACGGTGAGATCCAAACCAGGTGGTTTCGTGATTCCCCCCTCCACGGTTGCCCGCACGCACTCATATCGAGAATGTAGCTAGCTCCACCCGACCATATGTCGTCGAGATTCTTGAACCAGCTTCGATACCTCCTTCTCAGGGCCTCGCACGTCAAGGTTTGTGCTTCTCCGCGGATCCGCCATGCAAACAACGATCTAGCCCCGCCCGCGTGCCCGGACAGCAGTGCCAGCCACAAAATCCAAATCAGGGGACAACACAAATACGACTCTAGCAACACGAATACCGCGTACCCCGGCTCCTCACCTGGACACGCTTCAACAGTCCTCCCTTCCAATGACTCTTTACCAACCGGCTACAGTAGCGGCTAGGGTTCAAGAGAGACGTTTAGGAGAAAAATTGATTCAAGAGTGTTCTTGGCTTATTCCGACCATGGGATTCTTATCAAGCCGCTACAGTAGCGGCTAGGGTTTAAGAGAGACTTTTTAGAACACTGGATTCAACAGAGTGTTGTTGGCTAATCCCGACCATGGGAACTACACAAACTACACAGCAGTACGGTTTACGAGAGAACCGACTACAGCGAGTACCGCTTGCCCCAACCCTCTCCTGAACCGGAACCACCATTGCAAAAGCAAACACAAACAACAGGAACGTTCACCCTCTCCCTCTTTCTCACCTCGTTCGCTACCTCGTTGTACACAGGCTTGAGCGACTTGCAGTGCCCGCACCACGGGGCGTAGAACTCTAGCATCACATCTGTCCCTTCTGCCTTCACTACCTCGTCGAAGTTGTCCGACGTCAACTTTTTCAGGGTTCACGGGAGGAGAGGCGACCGCAATAGGAAAGTAGTTACGGGCACTTCGCAGACAGGTTGAACGGGTTACGTAAAGAGGGGATCACTTCTTGGGGGAAGGACACACACAAAGGCGGTCGGCAACGTGTGTTTGAGCGAGGGTTTTCAGGCGGTTTGGAAGAGAGAGCGCGAAAAAAAAGGGGGAGTCATCGAGGATGCGGTCACGGCCCCCAGAAACACAAGCGGCGAAAACAAGCGTCCCGAAATGACCCCCGCCCACGCCCAAAGTGATTCTGCAACGAATCGAGAGTCGACGAAGCCTACATACCCTCTGCTTCTCCTTGGTAATAGTTCGGCGGCGGTAGACGACGAGCAAAAAGCAACACCCAGCAGCAGCAGCAGCAGCAGCAGCAGCAACAGCGCCACAACCGCCACCGCTTACAACAAAAAAGGCAGACATAAACGCTGCTGTAGCACGGCCGTGTTCTGTTCTGTTCTGATTCATGCTGACTCACCGCCACGACGTCGCTATCTTCGTCGTCTATTTCATCGCCGGCCCCGGAAGACCCCATGCCCTCGTCCATCGCTTCTACGTGCGTCGGCTGCACGGCGGTAGCGTCATGCATGCAGGGGGAAAACAGTCAGGGCACTCATACAGGTGGAAGTAGCGGTACCCCATCGCGTGTGGTTAGTCTACCGGGTGCAGATACCGGAAAACAATCAAGCAGCGCCACTGAAGGTAGACTGGCGGGGTTCCGAGCTGTGGAGTAGCAAATTTAGGAAGCAAAGGAGTAAAGAGTGAAGACGCTGTGTTAACGTCGCTGACTTCGTCGCTGTTACATTTTGTGCCGAGAGGCGGTTTCAAACGTGGAAATTTCCGCAGGACGTGAAACTAGTAGTACAGCCCACGATAAAAAGCCCGGCTTCAACGTGCGTGTCAAGTACAACACGACTGCCAAAGAAGCAAGGCTTCTAGTCGAGAACGGGAAACGGCAGGGCGCAGCAAAGCAGTGTACACGCTGCGGAAATTGGCCAACCGTAGTCATGTCTGTACGAAACCTACAGGGACCTGTAGTTTGGATACCTTTCGCTAGGTGGAGCGTGTCTTTGTCTTCGACCACACACGACGCCAGATCTACTGGTGGGTACAGTTCCCCACGCCCTCACAGAATAATCAACAGCGGCAGGCCAAAACGATAACACCAGCCACACCACACGTAGAGAAGATACTCAACCAGAGCATCATCACCGGACGTTCCCAGTGGCAGGGGGAGGAGAGAAGGGAGGGAGGAGACACACCTTGAGCGATCCGTTGAGGTACGCATCGACGAACTCGGCCACCGTCTTCTCGTCGAACTTCCCGTCCATGCGGTAGAACTTGTTCTCCGAGCGGATGCCGACGGTAACGGCCTCAGGAGCCTCCTCGCCCTCGGGTTCAGGGAACTGCAGGCGAGACGAAATACGCGACCCACCCACACGGACAACACAACCAAGAGAAAACCTTCGTCGAGGGAACAGTGACAAACATTTTCTCGCCGCTTGAAGCGGTAGACTTCTTCCTCTGGAACCCTCACGAGCTCGGGAAGTCGCACACGAAACAATCGCTCACGCCGGCAACATTGACAGCAACAACAACAACGGGAAGAGCCACCTTACAAGCTTTGCAGCTGCACCACCGGCATCACGGACAAAACAACCACATTCTTCGGCAACAACAGCCATCGGCCCGCTTCGCAGGGCCAGCAGCTTCGCGGCCACAGCAGCAACAACACCGACACCACACAATGGAATCCCGCAACGAGCCAGGCAGTGGTCAAGTCAGCTCTCTCATGCTACAGGCGTTGTCGTTCTGGAATTCCTCGAGGTACTGCGCGTTGCGACGAAAACTGGCAATCCGCTCTCAACCACCAATCCGCCCCGCCCCCCTTCACCGGCTAGAAGAGCCATGAAACCCTAGCCCTCTCCCCCGCCCCCGCCCGCCGCCTAGAAAACCACGCTTGTTTATGCTGCTATCGGTGGAGGATTGTGGTGTGTTGCTGTCGTTCCTGCTGGCGATGGCAGCGCATGTCCAAGTCACCCAAGGCAAATTTCTTGATTGAACGTGTCTAGGTAGGATCACCGTCGCTTTCATAGCGAGGGAACTAACTGTCCACACAACACACGCTATTTCTTGAATGGGCAGAACACACACAGAAACAACGTCATTCGTTCTACCTGAAACCTTGAGGCCAGAGAGACCACGTCCTCCTTGTTGGCGACGACGTACGACAGCCTCTTCTCCGGGAGCCTCGCCGATGCCACCTTGCGGAGTGTTGCCGCGACAGCGTCGAAGTGCTCGCCGTCCTCTTCCAAGTCAACCTGCGGCGGCGGCAGCAGCAGCAATGTCGTGGGTCCAAGCCGTGTCGGGAGAGGGTGGCTTCACAAGCCGCGGGATGTTGCCACTGTCAGTAACTAGGGTTTCCGTTAGGCGGGGACGACCGCGTACTGAAACACGTGAGACGAGACCGGCAAACACCGGGCAGACCGACCCCTTGAAGCAAAGCCCGGCCATGAACTACCTACACCCACCTTTGTGTACGCCGTCAGCTCCGGCAAGCCGATCTCCTGGTACAGCCCACCATTTTCCCAGGTGAAGAGGCCAACCAGGGGAGTCACGACCTTGACCACCCAAATTTGAAGCGACTCTGGGTCGAGAGCGCCGCTGCCTGTAAAAAACAAACCCGATGAGGCGCGCGGAGGCCTTAGGGACAGTGTCTGAGATGCTTCCCTGTTCGCGTACCAACAGTTGCGGTTCATCCTTGAAGCACAGGAATCCCATTCGTCAGCCTCTGGTTTGAGCGCGCATTTAACACCGTGAAGACGCTCACCTGGGTAACATCCCAGCACAGACCCAGATGACAAGCCAACCGCACCGATGCCGACAACACCACCGAACAACGACAGCAGTGACACCGAAAGAACAACTCCTCCTGGACCTCCCAAACCCCGACACGGGGAATACAGCAGCGCCAAGCTCTCACCCGGGTACCGCTGCTTTGGCCGGCCGCCGTCCTCCAGGAAGCGCTTCGCGGGGTAGGCCATCACGCGGCCGGACTTGTACTTGAGCCCCTCCAGGATATCCTCCTCCGTCGCGAGACCGAACCGGACTCCAGTCTGCGACATTCTCTGCGCTGCAGTCCTGTAGTTCATGACGTCCTGGCAAAGGTGGGTACCGTCCACGATAGAGGGCAACAAGGTGAAACGTGGTGGAGCGAGAGGCAAGCAAGGAGCTGTAAGTGGCAGCGGGATACGATGGTGGTGGCGGCAGCGGCGGCGTCAGCAAGCTGGAGTTGATCGCAAGAGAGAGAGAAACAAAAACGCGAAAGGATGGAACCGAAACCAGAAATTGGAAGGAGACAAGTGAGAGAAAGGGAAAGCCTCAAGGTTTTTTCCTAGGGTGATGAACAGGGAGGTACACGAAAAACCACGACCTACACCCAAAGCCACCATCCTCACCCGCCTTCGGAAAACGAAAAGGTGTTGGACGCCTTGCCATGCGTTCGACCAACCTATCCGACGGGGCACCGCAAGACCGTTTTTGGTCAACGGCGTCGGCGCCTACAACATCCCCCCAGCGTCTGGGTTGCTCCTTGAGCCTCGTATCATGCACGAGCTCTCGTCACGGCAAAGCCGGCAATAAAACCGCCCCCAAGGCAAACAAACTACCAACAGAACCGCCGCCCGCCTGTCACAGCCTGATTCCTGAGACTCGAACCCAGCATAAAAACGCACGCACGCACACGCGGGCACATAAGGCGAACGCGCAGGCGCAAAAGGATAGCAACGAGGTACTCACAGCGCCGTCCGTGTCTTCGTCGAAGAACCCGATCACACACGGCGTTAGCGGGTCGGCGGTGATGAACTTCTCCACTTCAGCCTGATGCACGCAGCAATGGAGGCGGAGGGGCCACAACAGAGGTGGGTGGGTAGGTGGAGTCTTCAGTGGACTGCCTACGCAAACAAAGATAGTGCTATCACGAAAAACATCAGGCAGGGGGCATGCAGACATGCAAACCGGAACCTTAACCCCAATTTATCAATTTATCCAGTATGCTGCATTCTTAAAAAAAACGGCGTCGACTGCTGGGTTCAGTTGTCGCGGGCGTGACATACTCTTCCGCAAAGCGGGCGAACCACGCATCAAACATTAGAACACGAGATAGACGTTTTACCGAACAGACGTGAGGTTGAAACAGGAGGGCTCGTCAGAAGAGACTGCCGTTCCCCCCGCGGGCGTGAACACATAAATAGCGTCTGTTGCATAAGCTACTCGCTGCACCGACTTCCGACGCTCTGTTATTTGTGCTGTAGCAAAACAAAAGTGGAAAATAGCGGTGTGGTGGAACCGTCTCGTTGACAGCTTTCCAAACACCTACCATCACATTTGTTTGGCACCCGCTTTCGTCGTGGAGTACTCCAGTGCGAAAAATTGATCCAGGGGGGGTATGTTATCTTATGCAACCAGTGGCAGTCCGTGTCACCGTGTATCCCAAAGTCTGTGAGCGAGTAGCGCTACTCAAAAATTGCTGTGGAGGCCTCTGCCGGTTGATGTATCTGGAGCTGAGAGTGTCCGCATTGTTTTGTTCTGCACGCCATTTCGAGATGAAACGTATCACTGCCTTTGTTGGCTCCACATGCAACGAAGCCCTTGAACCTCTCGTGCCCGGCTACCTCAGCCTGTCCACCTCGGTCTGATCGGTGTGTTCGGGCCTACCGCTGCCGTGCCAAACTCGCAAACGTGGCATGTACAGGCATCAATGGACATGACTCGACAGACAAAACCCAAGGTGTGCCATGAAGGAGAACCACTGGTACCACAAACGGAAGGCATCCAACCATAATCCCTCTGCCTTTCGATCTGGTATCTCTCCCTGTCTGTCTGTCTGTTCGTGTGTGTCCCTCCCTCCCTGCCTCTGCCTTTCATGCATTCTCTGTCTCTGTCTCTCTGCCTCTTTCGGTCTCTATCTCTCCTCCTCCTTCTCCTCCTGACAGGACAGCCTTTCATCTCTCTCTGTCCCAGTCTCTCTATTTGTCTCTATGCCTCTCTCTCTTTCACTCTCTCTCTCTCTCTCTCTCTCTCTCTCTCTCTCTCTCTCTCTCTCTCTCTCTGTCTGTCTGTCTGTCTCTCTCTCTTCCCCTCTCCCTCACCATGTCGGCGAGATCCGTGTGCGAGGGCTCCGGGTCTCCGTACCCGTATCCCCCGTAACCCATCCCGCCCCCCATGCCCCCAAACATCCCTCCCATCCCCGGCATCATGTCGCCCATGCCCATCATGTCCCCGAAGTAGTCATCATAGCCGTCCATCATGCCTGCAGGGGGTCGGGGCGGACAAAGGGGGGCTTTAACACTTGGCCAAAGCACCTTTTAGTTAGCCAGTGCTGGAGGTTGAAAAAAAATCGTGAGCGAAGCGCTCCCAACGGCAACTTTGGCCTTGCCGGAGCCGCTGCGGAAAGGCGGTGGGATTGCCGGTAGACGAGACTTACAGCTCAAGGGGGCGTGGCATTTTATGCAACCAACGGTTTCGACCCGGCAGGCTAGTAACCGTCGTTCGCGCCAGCACATTGTCCCGCCTAAACCGAAGCAACACGTGACGTCATCACGCGCATACGCATTGCACTGGCCCAGCTCACCTTCGAAGTCCATGTCGCCATACTGGCCTTCGACTCGAACGGAAGCCACCGCCAGTCCCAGCAGGAGGGCCGTCGCCGTGCGAGCGACATTTTTCCGCGACATTTTTCTCCCGATGAACACAAGACGGCTCTCTACCCCAGGCTGGCCGCGAAATGGTATCGAGGAACCGAGGGTGAACGTGACGAAGCGGTTGTGGCTGCAGCTGGTGTATGTTGACCTGTAAACGCAAGTGGCAGTCATTTTTTGCTATTCGGCCGGAACGCATATGGAAGAAAGAGACTGCAGGCCAAAGCTACCGCGGTGGATGGATTCTATCCTGTCCCCGTAGATACCGTCATGTGAGGTGCATTTGGTGGTGAAGTATACCTCATGTCTTGCGCAGAAGAAACAAAAAAAAACGGAATACAAAAGGGGCAAGTCAAGTGTCAAACGACCAACCTGTGTTTCTACGGTTCCCCGAGCAGCATAAAGTGACACCTCCCATGAGGTTAAGCTGCACCATTGTTTATGAAACGAGGTACAATTATGGTATCAAATTGCGGCCCAATTACGGCTGTCTGCCTACAATAACTGATGTGAGAGTAAGTGTACACGTGTACCAATCGAATGTGTATGCATCAGGCATGCATCGCTCCTTTGGTGGAAGCTATTTCTGTGTGAGCGCTTTACCTCGTATCGAATGGTTCCACGCACGGGACCAACATTGCCCCACTGCTGACTGCTGCGTCTCCAACCTCAAGCAACAACCACACGTTGATTCCTTGCGACAGAGTATGGAGACAACAAGAGCAGACTCCGACGGTGCCCCGCCGCAGACCGCAACCATCTACACTACCGCTGTAACACCCAACACAACCTTCTCTCTTGCTGGTACATGCAACGCTACTGCGAGTATTGGATGATCTGGCGAACTCAACCCAGGGTTGTGTGGCCTCTAAGAGAAAAAGGAGACTGACTGATGAATGAATGTCTTCTACCGTTCGATCGGTGAGGGTCAGGGCTATTTTCGAGACATAAATTACATCAAATGGATCGTCCGCACGACATAGCTGGCTTGGGGGCGCGGGTTTCTCCCCGAGTGGTGACAGCCACCGATCTCTAGGCTGCTGCGTGGCATGGTCTACTTCTAGCAGAGGCTGCGGAGAATCTTCCAGCTGTGGCCGTTGGCGAACATTGGCTGTATCGCTGTATGAGAGTGGCATACCAAAGCCAGAGCTAAGTTTGTTCCACGTAAATAGCGAGGATGGTTTTACACGAAGTCCGGAGGCAAACAAGCGATAACCATGGGCACCAAGGGTGCTGCGTGCGACCAATCGTTCAAAGCACAAAGCACGAACCAACCCTTCCCAGTCCCTACATCACCGAAATTGGAAACAAGTTGACTACCCTCTCACCTGCTCTAAACTACACTAGGAGAGCTTGCGTGGGCTGGTTGTGCGCGAATGCGAGCGAATAGGTGCTTGGCTGCCAACTGCGTTGAACAGCCCAAGGCTGAGCCGGGGGCCCTGCAGATGTGCTTGATGTACTGCACGTACCACGGACGCCGATTCCCGCGTGGTCGCCTCGTCGCCTCCCTCTCACACGCACAGCTGGCAGCTGACAGACGGACTGCAGAGCAAGCGCACCGCCACAACCTCTGCCTTCCAAGAGGGCGGAGATAGCAAGGAGAGCGAGGAGACGATGGCGTTAGCAAGGGGTACCCAGGTGCTGGCTGTGTTGTGTGCTACCGCGAGACAAGCGAGGTGAACTGCAACCACCACAGGTGTTGTGTCATGTTTTTTCTCGCCTCCTCACGGTCGCCACGATGTTGCACTTCGCAAGCCAGGCAACAACCACAGAGGTTGATGATATCCACACGATGCGTGCCATGTAGACCACCCTCTTGTTCAAGGCTTCACAGAGGCCAGTGTTGTTGAATGCGAGCGCTTCGAAGTAGGGTTCATTGCGGCGGAGATGTGTGTTGGTTCCTTAGTCCACACGCCACGCGGCGTGCTGCCCTCTTGTGTCGTCGTGCCACGAGCGCTATATAGATGGTAGAGGAGCCTGCTGCCATTCGCACCCGCCTTAGACCGACTATCGTAGCTCGCTTGCTGCACCACCGAAGGGGCCACAGTGACGAAAAGTGCCGAACTACTCTGTGTGACGATTTCGGAAAGATTTTGTCGAGAGCTTTTCCTGCTGCAGCCCTATCGTCCGCTTGTCGCACCGTCTTTGTTGTGGAGCAGTCCAGCTACAACAGCAGTCGGTGTATGTACAGGGAGGGCGCGATCTCTTGCACAATTGCGGGACGGTATTGCTCGAGTTTCCCCCTCCATCCTGTCGTAGTGCGCCCGGAAATTCCCCTCAGTTACCGGTTCGGCATGGTGATTGTGCCACCTTACCTTACAGTAGACGCAGACCGTCGCCCGATGCAGCAGTACTCTATAATATGATAGTGTCTTGCGACCGAAACGAAGGCCTCGCCATCGAGCGCTCACAGCTCTACCACCAACCAAGCGAGCAATACACCGTAAGGGGTTCAGTATATGATCAGCGTAGAGCGGAGGAGTGGGGGGCACGCAACGCCACACGCCAAGGACTCAAAATGGAAGAGATAGTTGCCAACTTTTTGCACTGCAACGACGACAGCACCAAGTGGACACGTTTCACTGCGGTTTGACGTAAGATACCGCCCCCGGCCTGTTTTTTTTTTTTGTCGCTTTTTTGAGAAAATATGCATATGATTTCCGGTACGCTGTACTCCCTTTTTGTGTTGAGATGAGAACAATGAAGGACGAACGCATTTGACTGACCCTCTCCTATTTCGGTCACGTCCGCACGTTTCCGGAAACAAACCGCTGGTGCAGTGGGTTCGGACTCGGTATCGGCCGCGTTGCCCCAAGAAACGTGGTTGTCGCTGGCGATGCCGGGTCTGCCGCTGAAGTAACGACTCGACGAAGCGGTTACTGTTGCGGCCGGACCGTAGGGGCGAGCGGGGGGTTCACGACGGCGGTGGCTGTGGGAGAAGGCATGTGGGGAACTGCAGCAGGGCAGGGGGGGGGGCGAACGCGGAGGGGAGTACGAAATGGGGGCGCTCTCATGATGAACAGGTTGGCGGGCGTTGTGCATGGCACGAGGCTTGTTCAACCGCAGGCGCGTTAATGCGCGAGCCTGCCCGTGTAAAGGCCGAGAAAGATGCGTACTCCGTGTTCAATGTTGACAGACACGAAGGTTGTGATGCTGACAATGCTTGGCTGAGGTCGAGACGCAGTAAGTCACGCGAACCCGATAGGCGCCCATGAAAGTTGTGTTCAAGTTCTGTTTTTGCCACCCAACTTTTTGCTTGCGAGGAATGCGTGACAAGTGAGGCGAAGTTTTGCGAAGTTTTTTGTAACGCGAAGGCGCAAGGCGATGGTCTGTTGCTTTTACAGCTCTCAAGTTTTTCTTGCACTCTTCGGTGACAGCAGTAGCGTTCTCGTGGGCCTCTCGTACGTCTCGTGCATCCCGTTGATTGATGGTCCTAGGGAAAGCCGTCTCACCGGAATCTCGGGGACAAAACACCCGAGACCGATCGATGTGGTTTGTGTTCAACAAGACTGTTTCATCGTCGTACAATTGTTTTGCGGTAACAGCAACAGAGATAGCGGTGGCAGCTGCGGTAGTAGCAGCGGCAGTGATTGCAGTCTCAAGAGTAGAGGCCGCCAGGACCCTGAGTTTCCGAGCGCCGGTGAGAATTCTGGTCGGCGTTCTTGCTTGATTTTCAATGGGGTGTGCCGGGAGTAAAGGAGGCAGGCTGCGTCTGCACGCGAGGGTCTCGGCTTTGCACTCAACACACAGCTCGGGATTGTTTCTCTGACACCCACTAGCGGGGGATTCTGATGATTAGACAACTTCAAACTCAAAAGCCCCTGCAGCTCTGTCCCTGCGACGTGACAATCTTATTGCCTGTTCCTCTTGCTTGTTCGCTGCGTGTGGCGGTCAGCGGCAACAAGGCGAGGAAGAAAGAGCAACAGTTTGCTGAGGGCATGTCTCCCTCGGATGGGGTGAGTGGACCTTTGGACAGGGCCGACACTGCTCTCGCTGTCGTTGTATTTGACTACTTGCGTACGAGGCTGTGTGTGTGTTGCAGTATTCCATCGACAGCACCGCGGGCGACCCGACGAGGTTCTACTTCACTCCATCGTCGCGTACCGGGAAGCTTGTGCATCAGGCTGGATATCTGAAGGTGTTTCGTAGTGCTTCCGCGTTATATTTTTGCGCAGGCCTGCTCCAGTCTTTGGCTTTGCGAGCGCATATCGACTCAGGTCGTGCAGCTCCGTGGGCGACACGGAAACGGTCTCTTGCCTTGCCAGTATTGTTTTAAGTTTCGGAGCACACGTGCCCCTGAAAGCACAACTAGCTGTCAATTTCTCATCCGAAAGCGACCCTGTCAGTGCACACAAGCGCATCTGCATCGAACCCATACCGCAGGGCGACTACCCTGTGTGCGCCATGGAAGACGACCCGACCCTTCCGGAGGTGTTGACCGCGGTCAAGGCAGCGGATGAGCGCAAGGCGGGGAACATCGTCGCTATTCGGGTGAGGGTGTGTGGAGGCCGCAAGTGGCGGAGGTCTGTGGCGTTGTTTGTTGAGTTTCTCAACAAGATACATGCATGGTTCCCCACCATGTGACCCATACTGTCCTGGTACGGACGAATGCTGGTGTACCCCCGTGAACAACACTGCTGTGTGTGCTGCCGAAGCAACATTCTCTTCGGCGAGGCACGTGGACAGCAGTGTGCCACAGCACTCCCGAATAACGACCGCAAGTTTTTGCTTCATGTTGTTTTCGTTCTCAGGTGGCAACGTTGACGGTGATGACAGAGTTCATGGTGGTGCTGGAGGGGAACAGCAGACCACAAAATCAGGCCATCGCGCAAAACATCGAGGAGAAGATGGAGGAGATGCACCAGAGAAAAACGAATTCGCAGGTGCGATCGCGGCAAGTGGCGCGATCGGGTTCTCTCTTGAGGTAGTTCGTCCAGAACTCTTGCGAGAGATAAGACACCCAGGCGTCCTGAGTGCATGAGACGAAATACAGCTACTGTAGTTGGCGCTATTGTTTTCAACGATTCCGATCTATTGGTGTGCGAATACGCCGGTACCGAGCTCCTATCGTCCCCTATTGTTTTTTGTCGTCCTGTCGGGTACTGCGCGTTGAATGCAAGCTCCCCGCCCCACCCGCCCCTGCCCACGCTCCCCTCCGCGTGCCCTGTTTCGCCCGTGTGCACGCTGCAGGGAACTCCAGAAAGTGGTTGGATCCTTCTCGACTATGGGGACATCATCGTGCACATCATGACCCCCAAGAGCCGGAGCTACTACGACCTCGAATCGTTCTGGTCAAACGGGGAGCGGGTCCCTCTGGACGGGGTGCTGAAGCCCAACGTCCCGGAGCCGGAAGTCGCCGTCGTGGAAGAGGTGGTGAGTGCATTTCAAGGCCGTCGTCGTGCTTGTTTTTGTTTGTGTGCACTGTGCATGCGGCAGATGTTGGTGATGCGAATGGCTTGGTGTAGGGTAGTCCGTTTTGCTGTAGAGGGTGCGTGTAGCTGGTGCTGTGCAGCCGGGAAGCGGGTGTTGCCCAGAACTTGCTGGGCACTTGGATCCCAACGTATCTTTTCACCCGCCGAGGAGATTTACATCATTATGAGGCATGCGCCCACTACTACTGTTATCCCCAATAATGTTTGTGTCCTTCGCTGTCGGTGCTGCATTCGTTGCCTTCCGCAGGATCCCTTCTGGTCGTAGAGGAGGGACATGGCCACAAGGTGGACGGACCCATCAGTTGCGAAGAAGTTGCAGCGACAATCGAATGCTGAGCGGGAATGCTTGCTAGACGCGTTCCTCGTTTGAAAGTGCACGATGAGGCAGATGCGTCCAACACTTAGCAGAGATAGGCGAAACATGGGTGCGCGCTGCCATGTACATGCAGCGTCTGATAACGGACGAAAACGGGCTGTGCGGTGACAGGGCAATGATGAACATTGACGCCGTGCAATTGCCTTGTTATTGATACCGTCTGCCATTGGCATCTATCGTTGCTAGTCCATGGAATAGGCACGAGGGTGGGGGGGGTAGTTGAAGCTATTTGCGAGTACCGGGAGATGTCGCGGAGCGTCAGTGTACCAGTGTTGCTAGATGCACAAGATGCGGTCTCCCCGGTGGTTCAGTTGGGCCGGTTAGCCTTCTAACTCCCCTCTGGATCGCCGCTTCGAATTCTCTCTGGGACCAATAAAATCGGAATCTAGAGGTAGAAGGCACCTATTCACGAGAAAGTAAACTTATGCCCGACCCATCAATTTGCGTGGGCCAAAAATACAGCGACCACCAATCTATCAAGTTTGGTCCTACGGCTCACGATGGGGCGAAAACTTAGTCATCAGGTCACCCATGTCCTATGCACCAATTGTAGCGACTTGCCCTGCAGTAGAACAAGCTCGGGCTGTTGCTCCGGTACTTGGCGTTGGTATTTGGCGTTGCCACACCCAGCCATCGATGACGACGTTCAGGTCGCGATCCAAGCGGAACATATGACGCACCAAGCGTTAACTCTCCGGGGTGAGCTCCCGGGTAAGAGTTCTGACGCTTTAGCTTCGACTTTTCAGACCAATAATCATGTTTCATTCGACCCCCCCACCCCTTGCCCGACCCGGCCCGATATGCTGGTCTCAAGTGACATTGCAAATCTCACGGAGTCTCGACCATGGTTCGGTGGGGAATCGCAGATCATGACCCCTCCCGAGTTTGAGGAACTTTCCACCTCCTGTGGCCGACAACGGTCGGCCTTGTCTGTGTAGCCATCCGAACGGGGCGGCTGAACAGACAAAGACAATCCCTCGGGTGCATCACAACCTTTTCTTTTTCTTGCTGCGTGAGCGGGGCTTGCCAACTTGATGGTTTGTATCCCTCAGGCTGCTGTTGCGATGCACCACAGCGGGCATCCCGGACGTACGCTGTCTCTCTACCTGTTAGTGTTAGACACACACCCGTGCGCGTCATTCATTTGCAAACGTTGCACGGACAGCAACCATCGTTGCTCTCGTTCGTGAGCACGACGCATGTTCGGAGTACCAGACCACTTTTCGTGTCGGTTCCATGCGGTTTTTCTCATTTTTTTTGTCGTGTAGATTTGCTGCTTTGAACAGTGTCGGGGGACCGCATCTCCAGCAGGGTTCCGTACCGCATGTCAACTGCCGCGATCGCGTCCTCTGGTCTTGGTGCCGTACTTTTTTCGATGGTCTGCATCTGGACACGTCTACATCGAACTTTGACGGTGATGTTCAGGTTGACTTTGCTGCAACTGCCCGTCCCTTCGTCCGTATCTCACCCATGCTCTCGAACAAGAATAAGGCTTCCCTCCACTCACTGTAACGATTCCAGCACATTCCTATGGACTGGGTTTATGTCTCGAACGGGTACATGTAGTGTTTGTCTGAGACTTTCTTATGGTTTTATTGTTGTCAGTGTGTGCCGTAAATACGAGTGAGCCGCAAGCCACCAACTGGAGTTAGTTAGTCGACGCCACCTCCACAACGGAGGTAACGCGTACTACATTTGCCTTCACCCATAATTCTCCTTTCTCCCCTCTCTCCGTCCCTCCCCTGTCCGTCTCTTCTTGGATACAACAGTGTACAATTACTGTAACAATACTCCGTAGTGCATAGTATTGTAGGGTCCGCGAAAGGTTTTGCCGACTCTCCTCCTCCGGTTTGAGTGTGCATGAGATGGCCTCCAGGAGCATCGCTCGCCAACATAAGAAGGCATTCAGGGCGGGCAAGGAACTTCCTCTACAATTAATGTGTGTGTACAAATGCTGCTGCATAGGATTCGCGAACTCTCTCCCATTGCTCTCTGCTCCTATGGGTTCAAACCTTTCGTGTCGTGTCCACACGGTCCATGCCGTTCTTCCAAGCTATCGGAAACTCCCATCCGATATGTTCCCGCAGATATATGGTCAACAGAGGGGGTTCCCATCAAGGGGGGGGGGTGTACCCATTGTCGTGCATGCCGTGTCGTTAGACCATTGACCTCGCATCCCTACAAAGCCCGGACGGAGCATGCCGGGTTCTCACCGGATCAGGCTCCCACATCACCAAGCGCGAAGCGCCGTGAGATACTGGGCGAGTCGCATGAAGGGTGCGCTTTATCCTGCGAAGGGTGTTCGGCATCTTGTGCCTATGGTCCGTTCGGGCAAATAGTCACAATCTTGTTTTTCGCGATAACTTTNCGGACGGAGCATGCCGGGTTCTCACCGGATCAGGCTCCCACATCACCAAGCGCGAAGCGCCGTGAGATACTGGGCGAGTCGCATGAAGGGTGCGCTTTATCCTGCGAAGGGTGTTCGGCATCTTGTGCCTATGGTCCGTTCGGGCAAATAGTCACAATCTTGTTTTTCGCGATAACTTTCGAAAAAAAACGATTTGGAAAGTGAAACAACTTTGGCCATGACCGCGGCGTCGAGCTTCGTCCATATCCGACGGTTTTTTGGTGATCGGGTGAAANATGACCGCGGCGTCGAGCTTCGTCCATATCCGACGGTTTTTTGGTGATCGGGTGAAATGCGCACCCGGGTTGCAAGGGGCTCCGTACACCCCATTTTTCTTTTTTT